GATGACTGTGTTTATTCCTGTTCTCCTGTGGACAGTAATTACTCTTGCTGAAATTCCCATACCTGAATGTCTCCAGAGGCAGAGATCCTGTTTACCACACCCACTGTATATTCTTCCATTATAAAGAGGAAGGCATGAAGTGTTGAGCCACAGCCTTTCTGAAAAAGCAGTAAAATAAGGTCTTCCACACTGGTCATTAAAGGAAATCTGATTTCATAAAAAGCATAACAAGTTTGTTCAAATACATTGGGTTAAAAAGCACCCCAGCTAAAGATTTTTAAAATTTATGTCCTCCATGAGAATAATGCTCTACATCTTACAGATAAAATTTGTTCTATAGCAAGATTATTGGAAGTAGGGGCTGGAGATTTAGCTCAGCGGCATAAGCATCTGCCTTGCAAGCAGGCAGTCATGAGTTCAATCCCCGGTACTGATAAAAAGGAAAAAGGCCAAAAAATAAAAAATAAAAAAGATTATTGGAAGTGTGCAAATGATTAAATTTTGACTTACTCATCTCAATTAAAAGTGGAAAATGGGAATTAGCTAGTAATGTAATGGATGGCATGTTTGTTATTGGGAATCCTTACTCTTTCTTGTGATGAGAACTATGAGTAAGATAAAAATACATTAGCTTAAGTTCAATTCCTGGTTCAAACACACATTCTCTCTCTCTGTCTCTCTCTGTCTCTGTCTCTCTGTCTCTGTCTCTGTCTCTGTCTCTGTCTCTGTCTCTGCCTCTGTGTGTGTGTGTGTGTGTGTGTGTGTGTGTGTGTGTGTGTGTCTCCCCATACTCCAAAATGAAGGACAGGGATGATGGAAGGCCAGGAAGAGAAGACAAAAGGGAAGTGGAAATGATTAACATTCCATATATATGTCTATCACTTTCCCTAGATGAAGGTAATTGCAATGTATCACATGAATGTCATAATAATAAAAAAAGAAACTTAAAAAGATAGTTTGTGTTATACATTCTTTCTTTTAAAAGTTTCAAAATAGGCTAGAGGACAGTAATAATAATTACTACATTGTTATTGTTGCCTATAGTAGTGATTCAGAGTACATGATATACACACAAAACACTACTGTCTCAACAATATTATCATAGACCTTTCTTCTCAATGAACTAAGAGAAACTAGTTGTATGACTATCTTAACTCTGCCGTGTGTGTACATGTATATATATATATATATATACTTTTTCTTTTTCTCTTTCCCTTTTCCTTCCATCACCATTTGTCTCTCTTTTTATAAAAGAGAAGTGGAAAAATAGAAATAAAATGGAGCAGAGTTTCAAATCAGGCTGATAGAATTGTAACAATAATTAATACACTGTGTATTGTTATTTTCATAGTACTTACTCAAAGTACAAGCTATAAACATAAAATAATGTCCAAACAATATCAGCACAAATCTTTCTTTTCAATGAATTAAGAGAAGCTAGCTGTATAACTATCCTGTGATGCTTAACTATCTTGTGCATATGTATATTCTCCCTTTTTCTCTTCATTCCTTTCTTCTTCCGTCCACTTGTTTCTCTTTTCTGTTGCACAGTTTCTTTCAATTCACAATAGCTGTTGTACATTTGGACCATATTTACTCATTTAATTTCTCACATTAGTTAGATAATACAATGTTTACACATGTGAGCCTGATTTATTTCATTTATGAGGACCGTCTTAAGTTGTATCCATTTACCTATAAAAGTCTCAGCTCCATCCTTTTTTGAGTCAAGTAGTAGTACATTATATTAACAAAATCCCACACCTTTTTCAGCCATTGCTCAGCTGTTGGTTATTTGGATTTCCAAGATTTATCTATTGTAAATTATGCAGCTATAGGCATAAGTACACATACATCGCTGTGGTAAAATTTTTTAATTCTTCTGGGAAGATACACAGAAAGAGAATGGCTGGGTTGAATAGAGCCCTAATTCTCATTTTTAAAGAAATCTACTACAAAGCAATTATGATAAAATCAGCATGGTACTACAAAAGCAAACAAACAAACAGAACACACCTGAGGATCAGTGGAATGGAACAGAAAATGCAGACACACCTTCAAACACACTCAGTCAGCTTATCTTTGACAAAGGAGCCCAACACAGTCACTGGAATAAAGATAATCTCATAATCTCATTAATGTATGATGCTAGCAAAAGTGGCTTTTTACATGGCGATGAAATCTAGACGCATGCCTATCATCATGCACTAACCTGAAGTCAAATATCTAGATATTAAAACAGAGAAAACTAAACCTATTGGAAAAGAAAATAAGTATACATCTTGAAGACATAGATGTAGTTAGTCTTCATGAACAAAACCCAGACTGCAGAAGAAATATTACAAAGAATCCAACAAATGAGATCTTACCTTATTGGAAAGCTTTTACACAACAAAGGAAATCAGCCACAGAATGAAAAGACAACCCAGCGTGGAAAAAACTTATTGCCCGTTGTCCCTCAGACATAGAACTCAAATCTACAACATATGAATAATTGAAAAACATAGGACTCCCCAAAATCAAAGACCCAATAAAAATAGAGATCTGAAATGAATGTACTTCTCAGATGAAGAAATATGAATAACAAATATATATAGGAAAAAGTGTTTAGCATCACTGGCCATTCAAGAGTTAAAACAACAAGTTTGAACAGCACTGAGATTCCACCTTACCCCAGAAACAATAGCCACCATGAAGGATCAACCAACAACAAAAGTTGGCAGGTCTATGGGGAAAAAGGAGCCTTTCTCCTCTGTTGATGGGAGTGTAGACTGATGTAGCCACTGTGTTCTACTTATTGAAAGACTTGGACCACAATGTCATCACCCCCTTTCCTGTAGCAAGAGGATAACTTAATCTCTGTGTCTGCATTTATTCTGGAGACATCTTGTAAAATATCCAGAGAAAGAACCACCATTCCTACCACAGTCCTGCAAAGCAGCTTCTTCTCAGAACTTCTGAAGATTATTTCTTGAGAAAAAAGTTACTAAAACTAGCATTTTTACAAGTAGCGTGTGAGGAACCTGTTTTTGATGTATGCCTGAAGCCCAGTGAGGGAATTGACATTCAAATTTAAGGACAAGAATGTAAATACTAAATGCTTTTAAGACATGATTGAGTGGCAAGAACATTTCTGCCTACAAAGAAAGAAGTTATATTTCTAAAGTATAATGATACTGGAAGAGAGTTTGTTAGAAAGATGACAACAGAACAGTATTTTGGGTTTCAATGGTGAAAAATGGCATTGAGTTTTGTTTGGACTCATTATTATGGTGGATCTAGCAAAAAGCTGAACTGCTTTTTCAGATAATTATTTTCTGAAAAACTACTGGGTTTAATTGGGGAGAGTATAATCAAGAGGAAAAAGTTCTAAGTCTTAATTCCAACAATCTTGCTACTTAACAGTCATCATAAATGATATTCCAACATGTGTTTTGCAAACTATACAACCAAAATTAATGGAAAAATCTGAAATGATTCTTATTTATGTTTTATTTATATATTTGAATATTGAGAAATTATATAGGATGAAACAAAAATAAAAAACTGCAAAACATTTATATTATTAAAACACTAGATTGTGAGAAATTGTACCCTCATCCTTTGAATCTGCCCAACTATTATGTTACTGGCTTGAGATTTTTAAAAAGGAGGTTTTTTATATCACTGTTATATTCTCTTTATGTATGAATATACATAAATTCCATCTATACTTCACACATGCATTTATAAACATTTAGAATATACAGATAAGTCACATGTCCTATATTATTAGTAGCTATGTGATTACATGTGTACATCTATTGACATGTATATGATTACATATACACCTATATACATTTTTGAAATAAACATGATGCTCTAGCAGTGGTTATCTGGGATTCAGAGATTAATCCAGAAACTACAGGAATCCTACAAGGCCATGTGGCAATGAATCTGGCCACCAGGTCATCTCTAGGCCTCTGAGCTATATGAACTAATTTATGAACTCCCTGTGCTTCCCCTCATATCCGCAACTGAATTAAACACCTTGGCGACATACTAGATAGCCTTTTCTCCATCTTTTGGGATATTATTCTTACTGCAATTGTAACATCTTTGAAGAGCCAAACTCTTATGCACTGGTTGGCTGATAAAGAGGGATGAACTGAACATTGATTTTAAATGGATAATTTCCTTAAAAACAGAAATCTCAATTGAATGAAGTAACTGTCAGACACAAGAGATAAATAAAGGAAATCATAGCATTGTTACTGTCTGGTCAGGGTCACTCTTCCATGGTCATTTGGTCTTCTGTTTTCAATCCTTTATGCTATGATCTTTAAATACCTCAGTGTTTAACTTTCCTGACATTAACTATATCTATATTGCTCTTTTTGAGTTAGAAACTCCATTCTTACCAAGAATATACAAGCTTTAGTTCTGTTTTATCTTTTGTTCTTACCAAAAAAGAGCTGGCATTTAGTTAATGTGAATAAATTTCAAAACCTTTAAAGATAAAACTAAATTTATTAACAATGTTTCAAAGAGAGAAGAAAAAAGATAATATATTCACCAACATAACGTTTTAAAATTTTTCATCATTCAATAAAACTCCCTTTGATACCAATCACTGTTTATACCACTTTTTATGATAACTTCTGGTTTTCAATTAACCTAAGTCCTAATGAACTTTCCCGGACAGCTTACGTAACTAGAATCTTGCATGTGACCTCTGTGTCTAACTTCTTTCACTTAGAATGATCTATTCAAAGTTCACGCATGCTGTGGCAATATTCCGATATTCTTTGCCTATTTTCTAATTGATTCACCTTTTTATTTTGAGTTGTAAAAATTCTCTATATATCTTACATATAAGTCTCTTATCAAACATATTACTTGCAAAAATGTTATCCTATTTTCTAGGGTTTTTTTTGTTTGTTTGTTTGTTTGTTTGTTTTGCCTCTTTTAGATTTTTCCTGAGTACATAAACAGATCTATATACGTGCATGGTCTTTCAGATTCTCCGGAACATGCGAGGATTTCTCAAAGTCTCTACAGGCATCTCATTCTAAGAATTTTCTTTATGAAGTCTTTTGATCAGCATGCAGCTTACTCCAGCCGTTACCACCATCTGACAGCTGCCAAGAAAGCTAGACAATTGCTGATTTTTATTTTCGATGAACAACCCTGAAAACAGACTATTCATAGTGGATGGGTTCTACATCTGATCCAGTAAAGAGAATCTCTACAGATGAATTAATCTTGGAAATTACTAGGTAAGTCAAACAATGACAATTCTCTGCAAATGGAAATTCAGAGGATATCCAATGAGTCTTGAGAGAGGCTCAGCTTGGTTGTGCAGGCTGCCGGTTTTCATGGTGATTATGGAGCGACTGGTTTTCAAAGCTGCTGCAGCACAAATATAGTTTGTGCAGCATGGAAACTGAGCATGACAAAATACCACAAATTTCACTGGCCTAACCTAGAGTAAACTGTTTTTCTGGAACAAATGCCCCACAATTCTTACAAGTATTTGATTAAATTACAGAATTCTGAAAACACTGATTTTCACAATTGTTTTGCCAGTGTTCTGTTAAATCTCATAAAGAAGAGTGGCGTGGAAAGTTGTTTTGTGATTACCAGTGACATTATCTTCCTACCGTGTTGTTTTGGTTACCCAGAAAATATTAATAACTAATGTTATAGCATTTTCTTTAGCTGCTGAAAGAAAAGTGGAGAGTTGTTATGGCTCCTATCTAGATGCCTCCCTCTAAATCCTCAGTTGCTCACAGGTGAGGCTTTTGGAAAGTGTCTGGATCATGGGTGTATGGTCCTAGATTAGGTCACTGGTGCGCTGGGTGTGATGTTGGAAGGTGGAGTCTGCTCAGAAGAGGTGGCTCACTTTGGGTGCTGCCTAAGGGTACACAGTCCTCCTCCTCCTCCCTTGCTGGCTGCTGCTTCCTGCCTTTCACTGACCTCTTGCTTCTCTGCTGTGCCCCACTGGCATGCCACCCTGTCTTGAAACTACATATGCATTGAAATCTCTACAAACTGTGAACTAAAATAAACCTCCCTTTTTATAGCTTGTGAGTGTCAATTATTTTGTTTCAGAAATTATAAAATAGCTAAAAAGAATTATTTTTAATACTGTAAATGTCAAATTATAAAATGTCTCTTCTTTAGAACTATAGAATTAGATTTGCACTCTCATTGGAAAATGATTGATATTATTTGAAGATTGATATTGAACGACCTGCCTTATCTAGATAGAAATAATACAGGCCAAGATGTAATTGCTTGAATACCTGTCAAGAATAATATGGCTTTGCTATATGCATGTCCTTTGAAAGTACATAGACAATAGCATCCTTCAAAATGAAAATCAAAATGAGAAAGAAATATTTTAAGCAAGTCTTTTTTTCACTAACAAGTCCTCTTTTCACTTAGAAGTCTCAATTTCAGTTTATGGATCTATAATTTATGGCACTCTAAAATGTGCCAAATGCAGCTTTCTTTGAAATGTTATTATATTAGAATACTCATATATTTATATATAATGTAATATAAACATGGATTTAAGGTATAATTTAAATAAGTATATATTAGTATTCAGCTGAAGATATGTTTAAATTAGCAAACTTAAAATATCTCATTTTAGTCTGACATAATTTTATTGAGTGTGCTTAAAATAGAAAATAGATAAACTAAGATAAGAAATCAAATATGGCTGACTTTTCATAAAGTACAAATAATTATTTTAAAGTGTGGATATCTGAACTAACAAGAGGAGAAATATCAGTATTATTAACATGTAAGTAATCCATTCAAGCAGACTTCTAATAAGCATTTGTGGGCATTCAATGTGGCACTCATAAAAAAGGAGTCGGTTTTAAAACACAACTCTCCATCAAAATAAAGCTGACTTAGGAACTGTATTCCATTCAGAATCTTTAAAAAACAATTTTGAGATCTTACCAGAACATAGTGATCCTCAGTGCATTCAGGATAAACAAAGTCAAGTGAGAAATACCATGTTGAAATTCCGCTCAGACTTCAAACAGATAAATGGCTAAAGAAAGCTTTTATTTCGTCATTTAATATTTTCCTTCCTGTCTCATTGCCCTAACCCTCTCAAGTCTGAGCTAGAGAAAAAGACAAAAGTTCCACATCCTGTGGGAAAAATTGTTACAAATCAATTTGGGAAAATAGAATTTTCCGAAAAGATATCCTGATCCTGCAAACCACAGATGAAAACTGGGGCTGCAGAAATAACACGTGTAGCTGTGGTTTTGTCTGCAGCGACCCTGAGGGATAGTAAATGATAAGCTAACGCACAATCGAAGTAAAGCTTTAATATTTCTCATAACTGAGTATCACTCAATAAGTCCCAATGCCTAATACCACCTTCACCTATGACACACAGGCAAATATAATTTCATTGTTTCAACTTATTCAACTCTAAAGTCACAGCCACTATGGTGATCCCAGCATTTCCTTAGCAGTAACAGATACATTATCAAGCTTATATCTCCTCCGCTCAGATTTTTCTGAAGGTGTAATTATTCAATCCCAAGAAGGTAAAGAAACATAACAATAGAAACACAAAAAAACCTATGGCATATACAGTTCAGGTTACTCATCTCAGACGCACTTGCAAAAAATAAGAATTTATTGAATCATGAGGCGAGACAAATCTTAAAGAGAAAGAATTGCATTTAAATGAATTACAGGATACTAGGATTACAGGAATTAGTATTATAATGAGAAAGGAATTTAAATTTGAAAGATAAAAGTATGTGAAAAAATATTGCTTTCATTTCTCACTGGCTAGTAAAATTCCTTGACATGTGTTAAATAATTGTTGTCCAACTTCAGGAACAGTACTAAGGCTCACATATCTTTTCTCCTGTCTGTTCAGAAAGTGTAGCAGTTATAGAGACACATTTACGTATAAACTTCCCACAAAATGTATCTCACAGAGTTGCTAACCTGTTAGCTGTTCAATGCTACATTCCTCTTGAGTGTGTTTGTATCTGTGTGTCTTGGGGTTGCTTCATTGGGCAGAGTGCCTCTTCTCCTCCACCCAGGAGAAGACTGAAGATGTGCAATCTCTCACACAGTGCTCCAACAGCAAGGCTTTCTTTCCTAAAGCAGCCACGACAGAGTACAGGTACTTTGCCAGGCCATTTGCACTGATGTGGTTCAGCTCATCTACCCACATGACATCTGGTTAGATTATCCAGTGTTAAAAATGATGGCACCCATCCTCCATCCCCAATTTTAATTGTTTTTACCTGCTAATATTCATTTTTATTGCTTCCCAGTTTGCCTGTACAGTCTCCCCTCATTCAAATCCTAGTCATATGCCTAGATCTTAGTTATCAAAATTCATTTCTTTCTACCTTCCTAGTAGAAAACCTTCCATTCCACAGGTGGCATATACATATATATATATATATATATATATATATATATATATATATATAGTTTTTCTAAGTACTTTCATTTCCATAATTGTTTCAGTAAAAAAACTGAATGTCCTAGAGAGGTGAAATCTGGCAGCTTCAGCATTAATTGAACATGTTTTGTTCAAAACAAGAGTACTTAGTAACTAAAACCTGGACTCGCCAAAAATACAGATATGTCCTTTTTTTCTACCTGTGCATTTGAGTATGTATGAGCATTTAATTTCTAGAAGTTGGAGTTCAAAGGATTTTGAATTTAAGCAAATAAATTAAAATGGAATACTTGCTTAATGAATATAGGTCAGCATTACAGTTAAGGATGAGGAATTTTTTTTTTTCCCCTTTTGGTGAAAGGTCAGATAGTTCATGTCTTTGCAAGCTATGATGCAAAATAGATGGTGTTCTTCAGGCATGTATAAAACAAAAGAGAAAATAAATTTTCAAATATTATTATCCCTGGCAACTACCATTCTATTTCCTCTCTCTGTGAATTTGGCTCCTCTAGGTAACTCATCTAAGTGAAACTTTCCGTGATTGGTTTCCTTCACTTAGCCCCATATCTCCAGTGTTCATCCATGTTGCAGCAGGGGTCAGAATTTCCTTTTTTTTTTCAAGACTGAAAAATATTCCATTGTGTATAGATAGTTACAGATTAGACAGAGAAAAATTGATTTGAGATGATAAAGCTATCACACTCAATTTCCCTCCCTCCACTACCAGTGCCAGTCTGTCCACTGCCACTCCTTGTGTTAAGTCATAGTGCTCTCCAGCCTGTCTTGTGACTGAGTAGAATTAACTAATCACATTACTTTTTCTCTCTTAATTATCTTTGCACACATTTCTCTGACTGTATATATTACACATGCCCTACTCTGCAGCAAGCAAAGAACTCATCAATTTTACTCTCAACTCACAACTGACGAATTTCAATTCTTGATACCACTTCCCATAGCTCCTTAGTTCACACAGCTAGCTATTGGTAAAGCTAGGACTCAAGCACAGACGACATTGTTTGGGTCTTATTTTCTTAGCAATTCAGCTCACTTTAATGCATCTAATGATATCCCATCCATTGCCCTTTAACATAGCTATGTTTTGTCTAGATGCTCATAAACACAATTATTACTTCTCAAATATATTCCCTCCAGGACAGAGAACTATTTTTATACCTTTTGCATCGACCCTCTATCAGTTTGCAAAAATATAACAAATTTATAGGTGAATGATTCAGAGTATGAATGTAGATTCTGGGAATAAATGTAAATGGAAGCCATCTGATCTTCTCTACAGTGATGCTACAATGAGATTCATAATGAATGTCTTTTTTTGTCCTGAATACTAGATTAAATGTCAGGAAGAAGTTTCAATTAAAGACCAAATAGTTTGACAATGGCAGCATCTACCCCAGTAGTGCTTGATATTACAGAGAAACTCCATTCTTGCTTTGTAAGGATTCTGCAACGTTGCAACCTTTTGCTTGCAGACTGGCTATCCAGCTGTTGCATCAGTGCTCCATTCTATCATCAGTGGGTACAAGCAGGTCCTGACTTTGTCTGTGGAGACTGATTACACCTTCCCCCCTGCTGAAAAGGCCAAAGCCTTCTTGGGTGATCCATCTGTATTTGTGGCTGCTACCTCTGCTGGTGCAACTATGCCTCCCATTGCTGAAGCCAAGCAAGAGTTGGAGGAGTCAGATGAGGACATGAGATTTGTTCTCTTTGACTAATCATCAAAAAGAAAACTATTCAGCATACTTCAGTGGCAAAACAAGGAAATAAAGGCATAATTCTCATTTTAAAAAAAAGGCAGAT